TCTCCACCATCCAGGGCCATGGTGCTTGTCAGATTGCTGATTTGGCATCAGCTTATGCAATTTTCTGAAGACATGAACACTCGTCTCAAATCCATAGAAGAGACTGACCCATAAAAACGTCATAACTCTTCGGATGAAGCTGGCACAAGGAAATAATATACCCGTTCAGCACCTGGACTATAAATGGATGTGGAGGGAATTTGAGCCCAAATTGGAGTTGCCTGGTGTACACGCTGAGGTAACCGGGTGGGGGCCTATGGATTCTATCTCCGGCTACGGGCATTTGACACCAATAACCGTCTTCCTCCATGATGCCGTAGAACACCTCTATTTGTTCTCCAAAGGGCATTCCCATTGATCCACCCATCATAGGGAGTAGCGTTCACTAGCCCATAATTATATTCTCGGGCGGATTCTGCCATTCCTCGGCTCCATCAGGTAGGCGCCGAGGCCCAAGCGCTGAGCCGCTTGGTTGTCTCTTCCCAACCTTGGTAGGGCACAGAAGCCAGTGGTATCGCAGCAATGGGGGGCTCGTCAGAGGGCACCCTATCCTCTCTCCTCAGAAACGAGGTGATGTTGCTGAGAGGGGGCATTCGCCCAAGAGGCTGGTGGCGCCGAGCACCCAGCTCAGTCACCTCCTCCTCTTCTTCCTCAGCATTTACTAGTCTCTTTCCTAGGTCTCGGTCTCGAACCATTTTTGCGAAAATTGGAAAATCGGGAAAAAAGGGAAAGTTCTTAAAACTAGAGAAATCTGAACAAGTTTTGGGAAAAATTATCTTTGTTAGACTCGAAATCTGCCAATCTTTAAGCTCGAAGCAACGGATTCTAGTCTCAAGCTTAAGGGCAAAAGAAAATGCGGTTTGCAGTAGGTGTTAGCGAATTCAGGGGGTTCGTGTTTGCGAAAAATGATTAAAGGAAAGTGAAGAGGGCGTTTTATATAAGCTCGCCGGAATCAAGAATTCCAAGAGTTTAAAACTGCCAAAAACCCCACTAATTCCACTTAAACACAACCGTTGAGCACATTCCCAAGTTAACAACCCACTAAACCTTCTATCTTCCCTAATTATTCTCCTTAATGGCGGTTAAACATCATTAACTGTCCAGATTCCAAAAATTCAAATTGCAATCATTTGTCTCCCTCCATTTTGCAAGTCAAAACCCGACCCGTCATACTTCCAAATCGGGTCTGGGGGGCAAGTTGTTTGGGTCCAATTCAGTCCACCTAATTGGGCCAGTCCAAATGATTCGATTACAAAGCCCAAAGCAAGGTTCAACTCTCCAATGCATGCTAAGGTCAATTAAGTCCAGTCAACATGGCAAGCCCATTTGACCTCAGGGCCCAGTCCACCTCTTTTGAGCCAAGGTATAAAAGTTATCAATTGTCCAACTTATCATAAAATTCACAATCAGCCTCAAACACTAAATTCTCTTGCATAGCTTACCATCGCTCACACTGAACTGACTTTAGCATCGGAGGGGCCCTCCTCGGCAACCACCTTACGTGTGTTTTGCTGTGCAGGAAATCCTCGGCTCCTTCGTTCCTTGGACCGAACTCAGTCTTCTCCCTTGAAAAGGGCATGCCGAAGGTCCTATTGATTTCATCTGGAACATACTTGAATTTGAATGATGATTTTCATATCAAATACATTAGGGTATATGTGTATAAATTTTAAGTTGTTGCATTCAATGATTCACTTCTTCTTTTATTGATTCAGGCATTTTTTCCTGTTATCCATCGTGGAGGTTATGTAGTTCTCTGTTTTAATTTCAAGTATTCTAAGGTTGACGTGATTGACCAAAGGATTTTGACTGGAAAAGTCAATGAAATTTATGGCGGCTATCTATCGATTTTGGTAAGATTTTTGGGAACTTACGGATATTTTTGGCTATCCCGATAATAGTTGTGCCCGCTGAATATTAAAGATGGTTTTTTTTTTGGGATTTTTTGTTCTAAGAAATCATCTTTTACAATTTTTTGTGTGTTTTATCTGCTTGGTTGTTGATTAATTTTTTCCAATAAAGAATGAGGAACAGTTTACCATATTTATTCTTCACTCGAGAACTCTCTGTTCTCTATTCTTTTTCCTAAACATTGTTTACTTCTTTCAGGTTTCTGGCACCGATAAATTCTTGACAAATGTTAAATGATGAAAAATTTTATATTTTGTAGGCTTCATTCCTTTCAGAATTTTTGAAAGAAAGAAAGGATCCAAGAGCTAATTTGGTAGCTAACTTCGAGCCAAGAGTAATAAGAATGGTATGGAAATCAAATGAGCTTGATGTTCTAGATAGTGGTGTCATTACAATGAGACACATGGAAACTTACATGGGACATGGAAATTCTTGGGATACAATTCTTAAAAAACCTAATGTAAGACGTTCAGTTAATGAATATTGATTGATTCCTTTTTCAGTGCAAGCTTGATTTAATGTATTGTATGTGTTTGCAGAACCATATTCTAAAAACTTTGAGAGCAAAATATTGTTGTGAGATTTTGAAGAACGAGCACAACATGGTCAAAGAAGATGTGTTAAAGAAAGCCAAGTTGGCGAATTGAATATATAGTTGATTTTTAGTGTGGAAAGTGAAATGCTTGGTGTATGTATCTACAATTGTATTGTGATGTACTTACTATGGTTTTGTAATGTATAAACTTAGGATTGGCAATTGAATGGTGATTTTGACGTGGTTTAGAGGCCTCCTCCCACTCTTTACATTTTGATTAGTTACATTTCTTCTATTATTGTAAAAGATTGATAAAGATTGTAATAGAAGTCTAGTAAACTTGTTTTTCTTCCTCGAGCTTAGTCCTTGGCCAAGTTTATTGTACTGTAGTTGAATAGATATGCAGGTAAATTAATCATAGAGACGATGGCTGTAATATAGAGTCTTTATACATGTTGCTTAAGCCTGTTTTGACATTATGTAGAAGAAAGTTGGATACACGCATTTAAATTTGGACATAATTCTTGAAATCCTGAAGTGTAGCACCAACATTACCATAGCATCCTACTTGTTCTTTATATATCCGAAATGACTTAACTGGACCTACATTTACTCTTGCATTGTTAGCTATGAAGTTTTTGTGCAAGATTGTCATTTTTCTTGAACTTTTCAAGTACTGAGAAGACACAGGACTAGCAAGAGAATGATTGTGGCCTTCATGAAAAGCCTAACACCTTATACAATCCATCTTGAGAATAGTATTTCAGAATGCACTTTGCTTTGCAACCCGTTCTTGTGATCTTTGTTCTACGGCGACAAGTGTTACTTTTCTTATCTTGATCAACCTGATTATTCTTGTTTCTAAACCTCTTTAAAACCTGCCTTATTACAGAGACCGTGCTTTAAAGAGACAATGCCACCCGAGATTGTGGTCGTTGAAGATTTCCGTACAACAAAGTGACCATCTTGTAGAGTTTGAAAACTCTTTCCCAAACATGGTTTTGCCTTTTCAAGGCAACAAGGAAACCACTCCTTAGTTTTACCTGGAGTTAGATGTGTTTCAGGTCTAGGAGAACGCGGTAGTAGTTGTGGTGATGTTACCATTGTGGATCCTTCTGTCATGATATTTAGAGAGATAATCACACTATAATTTCCTGCTACAATATCAGAATGATGTATCTATAAGTTTGAGATGACGTATCTCTATGTAATAGTCGTAAGTATCACTAAACATCATATCCAACTAGGTAAACAAAGAGTTCAAATTTACATACTACTTAAAATATCCCAATTTCAAGGTTTATAGCCTCTTCCAATATCTAGCTAACTTGCATAAATGCATGTTAAGCCAGAACTAACATAGTAAAAATAATGAGGAACATCAAATAACACTTTTCATTTCTTGTTAAAATGTTACAATGATGTATCTAAAAGTTTTATATGGTGTATCCCTATGATATTGTCGATGTATCTCTATATGTTAGCTAAAGTATCTATAGGGTTTAGTTTTTCTTTTTTTTTTCTTTTTTTTTTTTAAGAGGTAATGAAAGGAAATCATACAAGGTGATAATACCTTGCGGAAAATCAGTAAAATACACTTGTTCAAACCCATCACCTACAGATTGTCTAGCCATTAAGTGTGCAACACCATTGCCCGTTCTCCTAATATGAGAACATGATAACTGCTCAGATAACTGCTCAAATTCCTCTCCCAAACAGCAGATATCATCAATGACCAAATCAGTAGGCTTCCTACTCACCTTTCGAAGACAAATGGACTTCACTATATTGACAGCATCACATTGAAGCTCCACTTTCTGGCAGCCCAAATTCTTTGCTAGCAACACCCCCATTCTCGCAGCAAGTGCCTCAGCCAACACCACCAAATTAATCCCCTCACACCTTCGCACCATAGCAGCAACAATAACTCCCCTGCAGTCACGTATCACAGCCCCTAAACCAGCCACTCCCTCACGCATCAGTGTAGCATCAGTGTTAATTCTGAAGCAACCAGAGACAGGAAGACACCACACATCAGTAGAAGACACCTCAGCTCTCCTTACGCCTCCCAAGACAACCCCAGCATATTTCTGAAAATCTTCAACCAAACGCACAAAACCCATAACACCCACCTCACAGTTACTCCATGGCTTATTAAAGACATGAGAGTTACGAAGTGACCACGCAGCCCAAGCAAGAGCTGAAAACAGCAGTAACTCTTCTTTGTTAACTTTCCTCTGTATCCATAAAAATCTATCAAAGAAAGAGCTAGAGGGAGCATCAATCAGAGAGCTAGCGAACGGTTTAGTTAATGTATCTCAATGTTGAACAAATCCCAAATTAGTACTACACTGCTGTACCTACTTTGAACACTTGATGTATCTACCAGTTTCAGAAGGTGTATATGTAGGACCAAAATCATGAACCATAAAACAAAGACTACAGTGCTGTACCTACTTTGAACACTTAATGTATTTACCAGTTTCATTTCTTGGAAGGTTCACATTATTGTAGATTCCAGAAAGAATACTGGTAGATTGTGAGCAATCACATATAAGCAAGGCAAACAATGAAACATCTATTGAATATAAACTTGATCTTCCAAGGAAGATCAATACAATAGCATCAACTATACAAGATCACCAGTAATCTATTGTTAAACAGATATTGGTTTAGCACTACATCACCATATACTTCGTTATACCTAAAGAAAAAAGGTCAAAACAGCAATACATGCTTTCTTCTGCAAAACAAAGAAATACTAGTATATACTAGAAAAGTTTGGAATTCCACCCCGCCAGACGCTCGCCTCGTACCTCATCAACACTGGTATCTCTTCTCCTAATTTTTGTTTGCAGAACCAGTTGAGTCAGTTCCCCTATCGAGTATAGAGCTCTCCATAACCTGTGGAAGGAACAGAGTATAGTACTTGACAATTATCATCATTTAACACAACCTAAAGATTCAAAAGCAATTAAGTTAACCGCAGCATCTCCCTCAACAAATCCAATATTTTTTGCTGATTCAAATTGCTTTTTCAAGTTTGTCAAACTGCAGGGAACTTTTCATGCCAGATACACAATTAGATACCATCTTTTTTAAATTAAGAATTGATTTATTTTGATAATCAGAAATTATACAAATAATCACTTACCATTACGGTTCTTCGTCTGAAGGGGCTTCCCACACAAAAGGTTTGCCCTCACCTTTTGATTCATTCTCTGCATCACTCTCTTCACTCTCTTCACTCTCTTCTTCACTCTCTGCAGCATTCACTGTATCACTCTCTTCACTCTCTGCAGCATTCACTGTATCACTAACAAATTTGTAAAACAAACCATCAGCCCTTGCTTGATCCAATATATCTCTTCTCACACCTTCATCTTTTCCTGCTAGCAATATCATACGTCCAGTCCATTCCATGCCTTCCACCAGCAGCTTACCAACCAAGTAATCTCCAAAATGCCTCACTTCTAGTTCTTCTACTCCTTCTATTCCCTCTCTTGGTACAGCAAGCAGTAAGTAAGGGAAAGAGTACTCTAGAAGAGCACTACCAACTTCCTTAAACATTTTAAGTGATTCCACATCGCGTGCTTGTTTCAAAAGTAAACGCTTGACACTTTCAGCATTCTTGTTCAGGTACTTGTATTTGATCTTCATTGCAGCAATATTGGTAAGGTTCCTCCTTACATTCTGCTCTCTAATTGACAAATAAAAGTGATGGTAATGATAAAGATCACCGATGAATTGTAATCTATATTCAAGAGGAAAATCAAGATCCCTCACAGCATCGATTCTTTCGGCCAACTCCTTAGCAACACATGTACAGCTTGAACTCCGTTTTCTAGCCATTTCCACTAACTTACCATGAAGAATTTCGGGCATGGAAAGGACAGGGTGCAACTCTTCAAGATCAACCATGTTTTCCCTTCAAATAATATCTAAAATCAGCCAAAAAACCAAATCTCATACACCCTACATACTACCCCTGTTTTTCACAAGTTTACTACTACCATAGATCTATGATAGATTAGGGTCTGGGTTTGTCAACCCCTTCCAAATCATACACAAACAATTCAAATCACAACATCCAGACAATAACCCAACAATTTCATAAACAACAATATCAAAATTAGCAAAAAAATATCAGTAGATCATACTCATCATTCTCGTCAAAACCCTAAACCCTAACAAACCCACAAAAAATAAATTACAATTTTCGCAAAAACAAAACACGAATATATGAGAATCGGAAGTACCTTGCGATTTTACTCAGAATCGGGTCGAAATTCCTTGCAATTATGAAGAAACGCCTTCGTCTTCCTTAACCAAACTGGAGAACGCTTCTTGAAGGACTAGAATAGGGAAGAAGTTTTAAGAGCGCCAATATTTTTTTACTGGAGATAATAAAAGAATAGGGGAGGAAGTTCAATCAGGAAAAAAAAAAAAAAAGCGACCTCCCTATGCCACGCAGCCACGTCTGTCATTCAACCAAAGATTAACTCACCTTGGGTTAGTTGTTATAAATTATCACCAGAAACTTAATGTTAGGTCCTTAAAGGTGAAAAAAAAAAGTCACACGTCCTTAACGGTGAAAAATGTAAATGTTAGGTCCTTGTATTATGCTCAACTCTACAAAACCAACATAATCCCTCATATTCATCCTTCAAACAACCCTTCCTAAAACACAGCCTATAGTCCCTTGTACTCATCCTTCAAACAACATTTATATGAACAAAACTACACACAAATCGAACAAATAACCATACAACCATCATTCAAAAAGTATAAACAAGAAAAGAGAAAGAATCTCACAGAAACCCTAGCATAAAAAATACTACAGAAAACCTTCAAAATTCTTGTCTATGTTTACATTTCCATGTCAATCATATCAACGATACTCATACAAAACGCACATAATCCCTCATATTGATCCTTCAAACTGTCCTTCCTAAAACACAGCCCCATAGTCCCTCATATTCATCCTTCAAACAACATTTATATGAACAATATTACACACAAAATCGCACAAATAACAACACAAAAAAAGAGAAAGAATCTCGCAAAAACCCTAGCATGCAAATTAAAACCAGCAAATTCAAATACATAACACATTCAACTCACATAGAAATTTCAAGATATAAAAAAACAACAACAACAAAGCCAGGGTTTAGAGTGACAATGGAAGGGAGGAAGGATAGGAGGCAACAAAGCCAAACACGACAGATACGTCAGTTGCCTTTGCACATGCCCTTTGCCAGTTTCGCTGCCCCATTTCCAATTTCCTTCAATTACCTTCCTTAGTGCCTCTTTTCCTAATGCCATGCCCTTTCTTTCTTATTATTTGTCTAGATTTCGCCATTATTCCCTTCTCCTCTCATCTGACTCTCCCTATTAAACAACCTCGATTACTTCCTTCCCTCTTTCGGCCATTTATTTTGACCATCTCTTTCCTTCTTATCCTCCACCTTCGATTTGTTTTAATTCATTACATACATTTCAATGCAAGAAAATCACACACAATATTGAACAAATAACAACACAAGAAAAGAGAAAGAATCTCGCAAAAACCCTAGCATGCAAATTAAAACCAGCAATTTCAAAAACATAAAACATTCAATTCACATAGAAATTTCAAGATATCACACACAATATTGAACGAATAACAACACAAGAAAAAAGAAAAAATCTCGCAAAAACCCTAGCATGCAAATTAAAACCAGCAATTTCAAAAACATAACACATTCAATTGACATAGAAATTTCAAGATAAACAACAACAACAACAACAACAACAACAACAGCAACAACAACAGCAAACCCCAATATAACAAAAAAAAATTAAGAATTACGAGGTATTAATTGATTGAATAATACACAAAAATTTAGAACATAAGTCGAAAACAAAATCAATAAAAATCAAAATAAAGAAAGAAGGCCAAATAGAGGAAGAAAGAGAGAAAGAAAGAACATAAACTTACGTCAAATTCGAGTTTTCCGAAGATCGAAATGAAATGCGGCAGCGAAGAGAGTTCGCCGGAGAATTATCGGAGAAACGCGATCGGAAAGAGGAGAGAGAAAGAATCAACTGAAGCTAACGTCGCCTTCGAGTTTCCGACGATTGAAGCGAAGAAAGTTCGACGGAGAGTTATCGGCGATGACCCGGAAAGAGGAGAGAGAAAGAGTGGAAGAACGGAAAGTATGGGGAAGTGAAGTGAGAGAAAATGAGATTAATTTTTTTTAAGAGACGCCTTATTATATTATTATTATTATATTACTATTTGAATATCAAATTTTCAATTTTTTTTTTTTTTTTTAGAAAATTTTTTCAATGTTATTAGTAATTTAGTATTGTTGTTTCCTCAAAAAATTACTCCTACTGTGGTTGTAAATTTCTTTAAAAACAAATTGATTTTTCAAAAGATATAAGGTTTTTGGGTTTTGTTAAAGAAGATGATGTGATTTAATATAAAAAAAATAAAAAATAAAAAATAAAAAAAATATTAGCTATAGTAATTTAAGCTTTGGTAGTTTGAGATATTGTAAATTTTTGAATATTTTGTAGTTTAACTTTGCGGGGAAAAAAAATTGCTACTCTTTGTCACACGTCACTAATGGAGAATAAGTGGACAAGGAAAAGGAAAAGCAAGGAGGTGAGCTTGATTCAGGCCTTTCGGAATACGCTTCAATTGAAAAAGGGGGTGAGATTAATTCAGGCCGGCAGGGAAAGGGGTGGGGTTGGTCAGGCTGATGGGAAAAGGGATGGGGATGGTCAGGCCAGCGTGGAGACGCGTGGGGATGTCTCCGACTGGCGGGGAAGGGGGTGGGCATGGAGGGACTGGTTCAAGCAGGTCGGGGAAGGTGATATTTTTTTTATTTAAATTAAAAAATAATTTAATTTACATTATTAATTTTTAAAAAAAATACGGAGTATGACCAATTAGAAGGTGACACGTCGAATATGTAAGATGCGATTATTAGTTTCCATTTTTCCTTATTAAAGAATAATGGTTTTAATTGGAAAGAAAAAAAAGCAAAATAATTTTTTTGAAGTAAAAACTAAAATATTTTTGGGTTTTTTTGAAGTAAAAAGTAAAAAAAAAAAAGCAAAACAAAACGTTTACCACTTAGAAAATTAAAAAGTTGGAATTCACCGAAGAGAATTTCCCAATTTTTTTTTTAATATTTGAGGTCATATTTTCTTCCTCTTATTTTTGCTAAATTAAAATTAATTAAATTAAATCGTTATTACTAAATCTCTAATATATTTGTTCTTAAAATTTGTTGATTTTTTTTTTTTTTTTTAAAATACTGATTTTTACAAGTTAAAAATTTTTTTTTTTTTTTGAGGGAAATGAGTTAGTAAGCTTATTATTGCAAATCAAGCTCTGCCAAAGTTAAGAGACTTTGGGGGAAAGAATTCATACATACAAGTTCCGCACTACCTTTGGTATCCCATCTCGCTACTAAATGGGCTACCGAGTTGCCTATTCGTTTAACATGAGAGATAATAAAAGCATCAAAATCATTAGCTAGAAAAGTAATATCATCATAGAGAAACCAAAGAGGAGAGTAACCCTTTGCATGACATTCCACTTTGCTGACCACATTAGCAGCATCTCCCTCCAACCAGATTTTCTTGAAGGCAAACCTGCGAACCAAATTCATACCAAACCTCACTGCAGCTGCTTCAGCCATCTCCACATCCCACTCCCCTTCATACCTTTGAACTGCAGCTAGTAAGATCTTACCCCTGTCATCCCTCGCAACCACCCCAAGACTAACATATACACCCTGAACAATGTGAGCATCCACATTGAGTTTAACAAGTCCATATAGGGGGGCCGGGGCAGGTCCAAGAAGATGCCGAGATAAAGTTTGGGCTTGAGGATTTATTGAACACTTTTTTAGTGTAAATGCCATAGTCAAGAACAAGCCTAGAGAAACCGGTTGCAACATAAACCGGAGTGAGTGTCACATTCTCACGAACTAGTTTATTTCTGCAGTTCCAAATAGCCCACGCAAGTGCAAGGAATTGGCAAAATTGATGCTTCTCAATTTTCTGTGCAATCCATAACAATCTCGTTGAAAAAGACAAAGATGGTGCATCCTCAATAAGCTGAGAATAATCGATATGTTCCCACACCTCCTTTGCAATATTACAGTCAAACAACACATGCATAATAAATTCCACAGCAGCACCACAACAATTGCATACCTCATCATTAGCGATATGACGACGATGTAGCTCTTGTTTCACGGCCATACTCCCCTTGCACGCTTGCCATGTGAAATGACTAAGCTTAGGTGGACCGCCTAGATTCCAAACCAGCGTACAAGCCTCCTTTTTATTCTCAGATAAAGTGTTAGCAACCCCCTCAACATGACCCAATCTACCGAGCCAATAGCTCGACTTCACCGTGTAATCTGTTGGAAGATTTAGAGTGTTGATGGTTGCGCGCTCGCGAACCATGAGTAGCGCCCGCGCTGGGTAAGCGCGGCCGCGCTGAGGTCGCGCCTAAACCGCGGACCTCACTGGAATCTGAAGGTTTGGAAGGAGAAAGTTGGCGCGCCCGCGCTTGGGTCGCGCCTAAATCGCGACCCTCTCTGACTTTCTGTATGAAAATTCGCAGGTTTTGGGAGGAGCGCCCTCTCCTAATATAGGAGCGCCCGCTCCTCCTGGTTGGCGCGCCCGCGCTCGGGTCGCGCCTAAACCGCGCCCTCTTCTGCCTTCCTGTGAAATTTCGCATGTTTTGGGAGGAGCGCCCGCTCCACCTGTTGGCGCGCCCGCGCCTCCTGGTGGAGCGCCCGCGCCTGTTAGTTTTCGCGAAATTCTGACGGTTAAGTCTTTAATAAAAGGCTTGTTTTTCAGATTCGAGGGACAGAGTATTATTCTTCTTCTCTCCCAAAGTATTCTTCATAATTCCTCACAAACTTCTTGCAAACTTTTGTGAGAAATCTCTTCCAATTAATCCTTCTTAGTGTTTTGATCATCTTTCATCGATTCTTAGTGCAAAGAACGTTGGGCTGACTTTTGTATCTCAAAGAGTATTTCCGGATCAAACCCAAGCACCATTGTGGGGGAAATTAAACTCTTTAGGAATGTATTCATACGCCTAAGTCAGTGTATCAAGGATTGAGACTCAAGTGGTCACCGATTTCTCATGTTCATGTTGATTGTTTATGATTGGAGTAGAGGCAAGTACATTATCTTTCACAACTAGTGTTTTTCATTGTATTTTCTGTAATTCTTTGATAATTTGGTGTTTGGTTGTAATACATTGAATTGTATTTGGATTTTTGTATAATTCATTATCAATTATACATAGTTAGGTTTTGTTCCCACAATTGTTAAAGTAGCTCTTGTTCTAGAATTACTTGAAAACCTAACATAATCCCCATTCTTCGAAAGCCACCAAAATAGCTTATCTTCCGGCATCGCATAAGAAATAGGCATTTGGAGAATGAGGTTACAGTCCTGCACAGAAAAAAGAGATTGTAATAAATCCCCTCTCCACTCTCCACATTCCTCATTGATCAGCTCTGAGACTCTCAACTCCAGATCGAAGTTCATATCATGTACAGGTACAACAGTAAGGGGTTTACCAGGGAGCCAAGCATCTAGCCATACTCGAATATTTTCCCCATTCCCCACACGCCATTTGAGCCCTTCAAGCAAGAGTGATTTCGAGCCCCAAAGACTTCTCCATGAATAGCTAGGGTCATATCCGCGATATGCTTCAAGAACCGAGCCATTCTTAAAATATTTTGCCTTAGGGATAGCGTGTGTAAGAGTGTTTGGTCTTGTGTGGAGTCTCCAAATTATGTTTCGCCGATAGAACCCAATTAAAGACCTTTAAGTCTCTATAACCCATACCCCTTAGATATTTCGGCAAACATAAAGAATCCCAAGTATGACAATGCATCTTCCTAGATGATTCCGTCGAACCCCGCCAAAACCGAGCTAACATAGAGTGAATTTCATCGATTAAACCCTCCGGAATTTTAAAAATGCTCATCGTGTATGTCGTGATTACTTGAGTTACCGCTTTGATCATTAATTACCTCTTTCCCGGGCTTCGATAATAGCTTCTCCTTCCAACCTTGTAACTTTCTCCATATTCTCTCCTTTAATAATGCAAAAATCACTTTCTTGGATCTTCCGTTGATCGTAGGAAGGCCTAAATATTTTTCATGCCGTTCAACCTCGTGCACTCCCAAAATGTTCACAATTTCCTGTCTCCGTTCTTCAATAACACTCTTGCTGAAGATTACATCGGTTTTATCAAGATTAACAATTTGCCAGGATGCTCACTCATACTTGCTGATAATTTCAGCTATCTGTGAACATTTTCTAACCGTAGCCTTAGCAAACAGAATGCTATCATCTGCAAAAAAAAATGTGAAATTCGGGGGGCTCCATTGCAAATTTTCATCCCATGAATCTGCTTTTCGTTCGCCGCCTTCGTAATCAAAGTAGAAAAAGCATCTGCAACAATGAGAAATAAATAGGTAGAGATCGGGTCACCTTGCCTCAACCCTCTAGAAGGAATAACCGAATCAGAAATCCTTCCATTGATTTTGAAGGCAAAGGATACACTCGATAAACAGTCCATGACCCTATAGACCCAATCATCACCAAACCCCATCTTATACATCACCCGTTTAAGAAAGATCCATTCCACTTTATTATATGCCTTCCGCATATCCAATTTTAAAGCAACCGAACCATTTATGCTATCACCATTTTTTTTCATTGCATGGAATATTTCGAAAGCTACTAAGGCATTATCCGTAATCGACCGTTTAGGGACAAAAGCACTCTGATTTACTGAAATAATGCTATCCAAGAACGGTTTCAATTTATTTGCCATAGTCTTCAAAATAACTTTATATAAGACATTACAACAACTTATTGGTCTAAATTCCGTCATACGTTTTGGATTGTCATATTTCGGAATTAGCACAGCACAAGTCTTATTTACCACATTCAGAAAATTGCATAGAAAATCAAGGAAATGGGTCACAAATTGATTGGGAGAACGAACATAGCAAACCCTAGGCAAGGACTATGGGACCCTGTTCGAGGGACTTTTCGTTTACATACGTATATGTCTTGAATTAAAACTTATTATTACTGAATCTTTGTTGTATCGATTTTAACTTAATAGTAATTTTTTTTATTAAAACTTATTTTATTGAATATTAAATTTCTTAAGGTGAAAATAACACAATCTTACATCCTGTTATATTAATAAAGACGGTTAATTTACCTACAATTATGTGTCAATGAAAGTATAACACTTAAAAACGGAGAGATTAATTATTATTTTTTTTATTTAAAATTTTTTCAGTAAATAATAACTCCACTATAAATACAAAAAATTGCTCCCCTTCAAAAAAAAAAAAAAATACAAAAATTACTCCACTTAGTATCAAAAATAGGTCATTCTCATACTACCTTCGTTACAATAGATGCAATCTTCAATACTCGTAGTTCAAAGTGGTAATATGATTCAAAACTTAGTTTATCATTATTATCTAGTATTGTCAAAACGGTTTGACAGTTCGGTTTCGGTTCAGTTTGAAATCGGGTCGGTTTGAAATCGGTTCAAATGTCTTACGGGTCGGTTTCAGTTCGGTTTAAATAATTATCGGTTCGATTCGGTTTCGGTTTATTCTTGAACGGTTTAAATTCGGTTCGGGTAGTAAACGGTTCGGTGCAAACGGGTTGCGGTTTGTTAACGGTTCGGTGTAAACGGTTTTTATCTCGATTTAA